AGCTGTGGTATGCCAAAAGCCCTTTCACCCTCACCACTGGTGCTGATGCCCCATACAAAAAGGCGAACATGAGAGCTGTCGGAGGTAAACATACTGGAGTTGGTTTTCTGTCTTCTTACCCAGCTAGGACAATTCGCCTTGGATGGGACCAGGAGTTATATCAAACAAGTAGGATCCATGCTGCCACTTTCCAAATCCATAACCAGTGCATTGCGGGTGCTGTCTGTTATGGATATGCCCATGCCGCAGACTCACGAGCTACCCAGGATCTTACAGATCAACTGCTGGCTCAGCTCACATCTCAGATAGTTGAAGATTTTCCGGGACCTTCCTTTGTTGCAGGTGACTTCAACCAGATCCCGGGCACCCTTCCGGAAACCTTAAAGTGGGAAGCCAAAGGGTGGAAAGATATCCAGACATGGGCTAATGAACAATGGGGCGTTGTTCCAGGTCCCACATGCTGCCAAGTCTCCAGAAAAGACTATATATACCTCTCCCCGGCATTGCAGGCCTTGCTGAAGAGTTGTAGCAATAATTTCGATAAGTTTCCTGACCATTCCACGCTGTTCGGCTTGTTTGATTTCCCTTCTAAGCCTGTTCCCCTGGCAAGATGGCCGAGACCTCAAGCCATAGAATATACTAAAGTTGGTCCAGCTGAGATCGCCAAGGTCTCCTGCCCTCCAGTAGCAACCCCAAAAGATCCGACCCAAAAGTATGCAGCCATCTGTGATGCTTTCGAAAAGCATGTATCCAGTGTCAGGACCCAGATAGGATTGCAAGGACTCCATCCAGCTCAATGTGGCCGAGGTCAAACATTAGAAAGAACTTTCCATAAACCACAAATAGTTGCTCCCAAGAATGCCCGGGAAGGTGAATATCAACCTTCAGTTAACACTTGGACCCTTACGCAGTGTAGATGGACCACTCAATGTAGACGATTGCAACACTATGTCAAACATTTGAGGAGGAACAGTGAAGCAGCAGCTGCCATAGAACAAAGAGCTGCCATATGGCGATCAATTGTGCTGGCATCGGGTTTCCCTGGAGGTTTTGCTCAGTGGTGGCAACAACAAGCCATGCATGACTCAAGTGTTCTCCCGTGGATTCCCACTACACCGCCGTCAATTGAACTAGCTCAACACATATCCCAAGTCTTCACTCGGCATCTCACTGCATTTGAATCCAGAGTCATTTCCAAACGTATTGCCATTGCAAAAGCCAATAGAACCTCGGACGTTAACAGAGTGTTCAAGGATGTGCGTAAACCTTCTCCAGTGCCAGTAAGCATGCTAGTTGCCAAATCCGTTGCCCATGTCATTGAGATCGTTGATGAGGGTTCGGTCGTGGTTGACAATTCTGAAGCTATCCAATCTGCTTCAGTCTTGGAATCTAGAACAGGTCCCATGCATGTGATTCATATAGAAGAAGGCCAGGTGTGGTTCACCAGTCCTCACACACTCGTAGTTGGAGACTCCCTTGCCGAGATTCATTTACAAGGCCAGCCCTATGAAATACACGAAGCATTTATCAAGGAATGGGTAAAGCGATGGGACAGACATAGGCATTTGGAATCCTCACACTGGGATGAAGTCTTGGCCCTCACCCAGACACTACTGAGCTGTCCAGTTATGTCATTAGAGCCCATAACCCTTTCGCGATGGAAACGAGCCATACAGGCCAAAAAATCCTCCTCTGCTACAGGATTGGATGCAATTTCACGGAAGGATCTTATGTCTTTCCCTGATGAACTTCATCTTCAACTCATAGAGGTCTTTACCCATGCAGAGAAAACCGGAGAGTGGCCTAAACAATTGCTACAGGGAGCAGTGTTCTCTCTAGAGAAAACTCCTCATGCACAGACTGTAAACGAGTACAGGCCGATTACAGTGATGCCTCTGGCGTATCGTATATATACAACATTGCGATCCAGAGAGGTGCTTCTCCATCTGCGGAAGCATGTCCCGCCCACACTCCTTGGTAATATCCCTAGAAGACAGGCTACTACCTTATGGTGGACAATGCAGCACCGTATAGAATTAGCTCTCCAGGCAGCTGAACCGTTAACTGGTGCGACATCCGACATTGTCAAGGCCTTTAATCACCTCCCACGGGAAGTGACATTTCAGGTGGCTAGGTGCATGGGTGTACACCCTGACATCCTCACAGCATGGGCATCTGCAGCCACCAAACTGAAGAGGCATTTCGTGGTCAAGAACTCTCCTTCCTGTCAAGTTGGCTCTACTACAGGTTTTGTCGAAGGATGTGGGATGTCGGTGGTTGCAATGGTGCTCATCAATTCGCTCATCCATGCGTTTTTGCAGTCCAAGCATCCAGAGGTTACATTCACTACGTATGTTGATAACTATGAATTACAGTCTGCAACAGTCCAACAGACCACTGAAGCATTACAGTCCTTGACGGGGTTTTGCTCTCTACTGGACATACAGTTGGACCAGAATAAGACGTATCGATGGGCCTGTTCTGCAGTTGGAAGACAACAGCTTCGGGATGCACAGGAAACATTGGTCACGGCCACCAGAGACCTGGGTGCCCATATGCAGTTTGACGCTAGAAGAACGAATTTCACAGTTACATCAAAATTTAAAGCCCTGCCCGACCTGTGGCATTTATTGGCACGTAGCCATGCATCTTATGACCAGAAGGTTAAAATCCTACGAACGGTTGCCTGGCCGAGGGCTATGTACGCCATATCCACAGTTCACATAGGCAATTCCTTCTTTGTAGATGCTAGGGCGGGAGCCTTCAATGCTTTAGGGTGTACAAAATCAGGGGCCAATCCTCAGATACATTTGTCGCTCATTACCCACCCTACCGCTGATCCTGAATTCTATGCCTTGCTCACGACAGTGATGCAGTTTAGGCGTAACATCCCAGTTGAACTATTGGATTTAACACTGGCTGCAGCTGCCACCACACCGGCTAGAAAGAGAAAACCTGGACCAGGAGGAGTTCTCCTCACTAGGCTTAATGAAGTCTTGTGGACCTATGTTGCGGATGGAATTTTCTGCGATGATGAAGGAGTTGCAGTGCACATTTTAGATTCTCCAATTCAGGATCTCCGCCAAAGGTTGATTCGAGCATGGCAAACCAGAGTTGGCAGACAGTGGGCAGACAGAAAGGGATATGAAGGTTTCCATAAGGTGAGTGTCCCGCTCTCCAAGCCCTCTAAGGCGTTTGCAGCGGACGAGATGGGCTTCATTCGAGTCGTGCAGAACGGAACTTTTTACACACACGATACCTTGATTCATTCTGGGGTTGTGGATGATACGAGATGTAAGTTTTGTTCAGCGCCAGACTCGGTTTTCCACCGTCACTGGGAGTGTGTTCACACTCTCACCAGCCGGAACCTGATACCCACAGAAGTGATGGAGTTCATACAGCAGGCACCACAGTGCCTCTCCCAACATGCATGGGCCACAGAACCTCCAGAAGTAGCCCAGTTTCGGTGTGCCCTTCATCAAATACCAAGTACCATAGATGCGTATGTGCCGCTCGGAACCATGAGAGAACATATTGATTTGTTTTGTGACGGAACCGGCATTGATCCAAAGTTTCCCCTTACTAGACTTGTTGCCTGGGCAGTTGTGCTGGCAGGAGCGCACCCATTACAGCCCCATATGCCACTTTCATGGGGAGGAGTGCCAGGTCAATATCAAACAGTGATCAGAGCTGAACTCTCCGCATTTGTATCAGCAGTCATCTACAGTCATAAGCATGTGCAGACACCTGGTTTCACATGTACTATCTGGAGTGATTGTGAGTTTATTGTCAAGAGAGCTCAAGCCATTCAGCAGAAGATATTGGACATTTCTGGTGCGTTGACGGATCATGACCTATGGGCAATAGTTCAGCAGTACCTTCCGTCTGAGGAGCAGTGCACGCTGATCCATATCAAGTCACATCAAGCCTACCAAGATGAACCTGCTTGGATCCAGTGGGCATGCAGTGCTAATGATGCTGCTGATAAGCTGGCTGAATATGCGTTGGCCCATTTACCAGAAGAGGTTCTGAGTTTGCAAAAAAGAGCCTCCATTGCTCAACATCGTATGCTGACCGCAGTTAAGCATGTCCACGAGCATGTGGTGCGCGTAGCCAAGCTCTCTGTGGCCTCAGTTGTCAAATCCAATGCAGCACCCACACGACCAACTGATCACCTCCCAGAGGTCAATTGGTATGACATCGCCAAGGCAGCCGAAGAACATGCCCCAGCCAAGCTTCGATTTCAAGGTTTTCACAAATTACTAACTTGGTGCCAGCAGATACATTCCCCTACTGCACCTCTCAAATGGATTTCTTGGTATGAACTATTATTTCTTTTTCAGCTGCAGACTGGTGAATGGGAAATCCAGTCCACATCCAGTCATAACACGTGGCAGTTATATTCCAAGCTACAGGAATACGATATGCATCAAACCTGTCGTTCTTGGGCCGCCTTTATGTTACAGCTGATCAGAATAGTTTTGCCAGGATATAAAGCAGAACATAACAGACCGAGCAACAGCCGGTTCACATGTTGGGCAATGGGTGTTCAAATGCGGATCTCTCCAACTGCCGATGAAAGCCTGCACAATTGGCTGCACGCGCAACTTGGAAATCGTCAGGTAACGAAGATCACCCAGCTCCAAAAATTACCGATAGCCAATGCCACAACGCCTGTTGAACCAACTGTATCCACAGTTGGTCTCCATCGCTTCTGGCCAACCCGTTAGCCAGCCACAGTGCTGATCGGGATTCAGCGAGGAGTCTGCTACCGCTGACTGCTTGTGACGGATGTCAAAAAGGTGCGTCAAAAAGGATTTTGAAAACTCCTCGGCTCGGTCATGGTGAACAGCAACGTGGTACCCTCTGGAAATAGCCTAGTTTTAATGGAAACTAGTCTTCCAACCCCTATCTGCCAGGGTCTATGTTAATTTACCAGAGGGTAAATCTAGAAACACGCCAACGGTATAAACGGCTTTTCAAAACTCTATGCACATGTACCGCAAAAGCTGTGTTGGGTTGGTGACATTGGAGAGGCCAGTTATGGGGTATGGGGAGTTCACCATCACCCGGCTGACAGGATATTTCGGTGCTGGTGAAATAGGCTGACTAGCCATGTAGGTTGATCCCTGAAAAGTGGTCAGCCTTCGTTTTCCTGAAGATGGTAGATGGTCAAACATGAAAGGCACCCAAAAGCTGGAGAAAACGGGTGGTTTGCTTAGTGGTAAAGCATCCGACTCCTTTGACAGCCAATTCGGCCCAGAGCCGTATTGGAATATCATCCAGATGATTCCCTACATGTGGATAGCAAATTTACTCATGACCTGATTTCCGTGTGGATTCAATGGCAACCACAACCCGCTGGCAGGTCAAAGGGCCGAGCTTCCCCCAGCACAGGTGCGGATGACCCAATGATAGGGTGATGGAGGAGGAACAAAGGACCAAGTTAGCTCTGGACTCTCAGGACTCTTCAAGGTTTTTTGTGCCCCCCCCCCCCCCCCACCCACCCCCACCCCCATCCCCACGCCTCAAAACATGCCCCTTGGCGCAGGAGACCGCGGCACCTGGACGCGCTTATGACGTCATCATTTTTGGGGCCACTGGCTTCACAGGAGGGGCGAGTCTGGGAGGGGGTACACTGTGAGGCTCAGATTTTTTGGGGCAAAAGCTCTTTGCTGACATGTGGATGAAAGTTGAGGAAAGAACACTGTAAATACTCAGTCTTTTCCACCATTTTTTTCCACCATTTTGAGCTGCAAAATCACTCCCCGATGAGAACCCGTTCTGTTTTTTTTTTGAATTGCAGTGGGTTGAAGATCTCCTCAGCACAGGACGCCTCATGGTGGAGCACTTGGATGCCTTGATCGCCTCCAAACAGGTGCAGGTGCAATGGGGGCTAGGAGTGGCCTGAAAGGGGCGTATGCGGGCATAGATAGGATAGATAGGATAGATAGGATAGATATGGATAGATATGGATAGATATGGATAGATATGGATAGATATGGATAGATATGGATAGATAGTTAAGTGGATCCGGCCATTTTTATTTGACATGTCTGCTTCCACTCAAGTACTTGGAAGACATCACACTTTTGATAGGGTCATAGTTCCCAAGGAAGTTCCTGGCATTTCGTTTGGAGGTACACACCTGGGCTTTGGTGGGACGAAATCGACAGAGGCATCGGGTCCCATATGGGTCCCATATGGGTCCCGGGGGTCCTGGAGGTGGGGAAGAACCAAATACCAACCCCAAGGACTTGCCATAACTGGCTGGGATTGAACCAGCCCCAAATGGGAGTCGTTTATCTGGCATTGGGCTTAGCATACGCACGATGCTGCTGACAAAAGCAGTGCTTCACAGCAGTGACCACGTGCTTCTCCGTGGGACAATAGGACTGCAAAAGAGGATAGCAAAATGTGTAACCGAAACAAACTGAAACATGGATTTTACTGTATGTTTCCTCCTAGAGTTAAGGTGAACTGATGATTTTCCACCGCCAGGCTTTTCCATTGTTTAAGTCCAAAGCATAGAAATGGGATTTTGAAAACATTGGAAATGGGATGAAACCGGTACCAACACCTACTTGTACCCCTCCAGGTATCAATGGTAGACTACCTGAGAATTGCCCCCCAACTCCAGGTTGGAGGCTGTAGCTGCGCAATGTCGCGCAGCACCGGCCATTCTGCTCGCAGAGGGAGATCTCGAGAAGGTCCTGCTCACCATGGTTGGATTATGTTAACTTCTAGCATGTTCTATCAGGAAAAGGAGCGGAAAACAGTTACTTCTAACCATCCAAAGCTTGTGCTTTGGAAGATGAAGATTGAGGAGAGAGTTGGATGATGCGTTGCAGCCATGTTTTTGGGGCCCGCTAGCTCCGTTACTGCCGATTCCAGGTGACCCAACAGGCCACTGTTGTCATCTCAGCGGCAGGAGAGGCTGACTTGGTGGGCAGCTGGTGGTTGGACATCTTTGGTCATTTGTAGGTTTTTCAATCAAACATGCACTGGGAATTACACATATGATCAAATATGGCAATGAGAATGATCAAATATGATCAAACATGATCAAATATGATCAAATATGATCAAACATGATCAAACATGATCAAATATGATCAAACATGATCAAACATGATCAAATATGATCAAACATGATCAAACATGATCAAATATGATCAAACATGATCAAATATGATCAAACATGATCAAATATGATCAAATATGATCAAATATGATCAAATATGATCAAATATGATCAAACATGATCAAACATGATCAAATATGATCAAACATGATCAAACATGATCAAACATGATCAAA